GACTTGATCAAGGTTGTCTAGCCTTTAAGGGGCTACAGCCAGGGTCAGTTGGATCCCATTCTGCTGTACCTGTGAATTACAGTTCTAAATACTGTAATAAATGTACTAAATAGTACTGTAATAAACGTACTAGTACTGCATTTCTTGAGGAAAATTCACTGGGGCTTACATCCCCTCTCAACCTGGTATTTGCTTAGTCAGAAATCCTCTGAGTTATGAAGCAGCCAGGCCTGCAGGGAACTGTTTTGGGAGTAGGAGGTTTTTAACCTTCATATACTGTTTGCATTTGGAAGAGAAAGGTTGTCCATAAGTTTGTGTATTTAGTCTCCTTTCTGGCTAAAGGACACAGTTGGGCTCCTGTGAATTCCTGAATGTGCTGTTTGACATGGACAGGAAGGGAGAAGCCTCAGAATCCCTGGTGGGAAGAGTGGAGGCTTCCCCAGTTTGACAGTGGGAGTCCCAGAACAGTCCTGAAAAGATTCTATGTGGTGATGATGATGATGTTTTTTTTTTTTTTTTTTTTTAGAAACTCTAACCCAAAGCCCCAAATGACTGAAATTAGTCTAATTCTTTCTAAGATTCTAGGAATTCACATGAATAAAACAATTGCCAATGTTCTCCTCAGTCAAAGCACGCTGACCCAGACCATGGCAGATTCCAAGAACACTGAGCACAGGCTGTGATGATCAGGCTCTTCAATACTCAGCCGCTGCTGACACACCTATTAAGGGGGCCACATGGGTTGATGCTTGTTTTAGTCAGCTTTTCCACTGCTGGGACCAAAAGACCCGGCAAGAACAATTTTAGAGAAGGCAAAGTTTATTTGGGGGTTCATGATTTTAGAGGTCTCAATCCAGAGATGGCCATTTTGGGGACATGAGGTGAGGCAGAACATCATGGCAGAAGAATGTGGCAGAGGAAAGCAGCAGGGAACAGCTGGCACCAGGAAGGGGAGAGAGAGAGAGAGAGAGAGAGAGAGAGAGAGAGAGAGAGAGAAAGCGCGTGCGCAAGCTCACTTCACCACTGCAACAAATAAACCCTGAAGGCACCCTCCCAAGGACCCACCTCCTCTAGCCACACTCTACTTGCCTAGAGTTAGCGCCCAGTGAATCCCTATTAAGGGATTAACGCACTCATTAGGTTAAGGCTCTTAACCCAATCACTTCACCTCTAAGCTTTCTTGCATTATCTCACACATGGGCTTTTGGGGACACCTCATATCTAAACCACAACAGTGCTGCAGCTGGCTGAGGCCTGGTAATTTTACCTCTCTCCTTTTAAGGGGGCAAGAACTTTTGTGGATCCATCTCCTGGGAGGAGTCAGCTGGGCTATTCTCCTTTCTGCAGCCCCTGGAAATTACCCTTCTCCTTTCTGCCTCTGTACATTTTACCACTGTAGTTACCTCCTGTAAGTAGAATCATGCAGTATTCCATGGTTAGGGGAATATTCTGTGGTTAATTTCACAACGTAAGTCTCCAAGGTTTATCCATGTTGTAGCACGTGCCACAAAAATGCTCTAAGGCTGAAAAACCTAGGTATATGCCATGGTTTGTTTTTCTGTTCATCTGTCAATGGACACTTGGGTGTTTTTCTTCTTTAGGACCTTGAGAATAATCCTGCTAAGAACTTGTGGGTACAAATATCTTTTTGAGTCTGCTTTTAATTCTTTTGGGTATCTATAAGAAATGGAATTGTTGAATTATAACATTTTAAATTTAATTTTTAACCACCATATTATTGTCTA